ATATGGCAGAATTGAATTATACTTGCATATAATAAAGTTGAACTAAGTTGGATTAACATGGACCTAACATATCGGCAGAATCAGACACAGGTTGGAACTAAGTGGATATCAGTTAGATTAACAAAGAGACTAAGATTGGTAAGCTCGGTCAGTCTTTGTTTGAATCAGACCTCGGCGACAAGGTCAAAGCCACATGCTTAATGAGAACCCAAGTGGAACTTAAGTTCACATTAGGGAACAGAGGGCTGAAGAATGATGCTTGGGAGTTAGAATTTACAACTAAGATTGGTTTAACACATGTTGAAATTTTAAGAAAAATTTACAAGTTGAAGTTAAGCCGAGGTTATGTTAAAGGAAGATTGGTTTAACACTTGTTGAAATTTTAAGAAAAATTTACAAGTTGAAGTTAAGCCGAGGATATGTTAAAGGAAGTTGGTTTAACACTTGTTGAAATTTTAAAAAAAATTTACAAGTTGAAGTTAACCCAAGGTTATGTTGAAATAATAGAAGACAGAGGTCCTAATAAGTAAAGAGTGAAGTGGCAAGTTGTAAATAACACTTGTGAAAATATTATGATAAATATTTTCAAGTGTTAGGTCAAAACCGAGATAAAACTGCTAGTGGATGTAGCCGAAGTATTCCGCACCGAGAAGATTACACAGTTAAGGTGTACGTTGAAGAAATGCAAAATATTCCAAGTATGAAAACATGCAAAGCATAGAAGAAAAGCGGTAAGCATACATGATGAAAGCAATATTCAACACATAGAAGAAAATAGAAGGCTTGCATTGAAAAGGGACAGCTTGCTCAAGTACATAAACAGGCACATCGGTCTGACAAAACATATACTGTTCAAAACAGAGAAGAAAATTACAAAGAAAAAGGTACAATGGAAAGAAAAATTCCTAAGTACTAGGATCTTGTGCATTGATCGCAGACTATTCAACCTCGGCTGTTGGCATTGTTTCGGTCTTGGCAGACAGTTAGGCAAACTTCTCGGCCGTGATTTCGGCATTGATTTCTAGAAGAGTTTGATCCAGGCTTTTTGCAGCGGCAGTGATCTCGGTTTCAGAAGTGTCAGCCTTCTTTGGTGAGGTGCTCTTGGAGACCTCATCCTCGTCCTCCTCAATCAAGTCCAGGACTTGATCATTTAGAGTAGAAGACTTGGCCCCAGCAACAGAGTAGCGGACTTGGCCCCAGCAGCAGCTTCAGATTCTTTCTCGGTAACCTCAGCCTCGACCTCGGCCTCTTCCTTGTCTCCGGCCTCTTCGTCGTCGGCCTCTTCTACTTCCTTGGCCTCATCCTCAGATTGATTAGGAGAGGAAGGGAAAGGGACATTGAGCTGACCCATATTGCGGAGGGGAGAGTCCTTGGGGACAAACATCTTTTTGAGGGCTGTCATCCAGTCAAGATAGTAGCCTTTGTTGCAGGTCATGTTGACTTGTTTTTTCAGCCTTAACAATGGCCTCGGCTTTGGCAGCAGTAACTTGGTCCACTTGCTTCATGTGCTTCTCTTCTGAGATGTTTGCAGGAGGCATGAGCATGTCGAATTGACTATAAGGAGATGGAGTGGATTGCACAGTTATGACATCAAGGATGTCAACAAGAAGGTCTACTACGACAAGAGTTCAACGAAACATGTCGTCGTTGGTTACGACGATGGTTACTCACAGATAAGGCGATTGAAAAATTATCAAGGTCTAAGGCTAGAAGCTTAGGACCTTGGTGTTTCCTGTTCCTGGTTCTAGCCGCAAGATTGTTGCTATGTCGGTGTTTGCATTGCCATTGAAATGGTGGGTTGATACATGGAGCAGTTGATGAAGTGTTTGGCTGCTAGTCTGGTTCAACTAATAGAGTTTGAACCTGGGGCACAAATGGATTATTCATGGCAATGAATGCTTCAAGAACAACGATGATGGTTTGCAGAGGCAAAAAGAGATAGTCTGGGGACAGATGGAGACAAAATAAAAAAAAAAGGCAAAAAGTTATGATTTCGAGTCCTTAGCGACGTGCTCGTGTTGATGTTAGACGGCTGGAGGCAGAACTGATGTGACACAATGGAGACGTGATTAGTACGCTCCGATCTGATGATGATCTTGATTGAGAAATGTGATCTCAGTTGAGATGATCTCGGTAGAGGTGATGATCTCGGTTGACATGATGATTTCAGTTGAGATGTTGATCTCGGTTGAGATGTTGAATTTGGATGGAAATAGAACTTGTTTATTCTTGGTTTCTTATGAAATAATACTAGGATCTTGATGTTCTTGAACTAGCAAGTCATGATCTCTGCTAGTAGCGTGATCTCTGTTGAGATGTTGGACCTAGATAAGATAGAACATGATGGTTCTTAGTTCTTAGTTCTTGATTCTTGATTCTTGACGAGTGGACATATGAGTCCTTATTTCTTGGTGTCGACAAGTCACGATCTCGGTCGGAGGAGTACATATATAGGTTCTATCACTTCAGTTTGCCGAGGGAATAGAATCTATAGGGTATTTGTGAGAACATATTTTTGTTAGCCGAGGTGCCACGTGGGTGGACCATGATGCCGAGATATGGTGCGATAATACCAGAATTTGAGATATGTGGATAGAGGACTAGAGTCCTAGATTGGGAGATGACTTCAGTTTGGATAAAGATAAGACTCATAGAGAGTTAATCACAATCCTACTAAGAGTTTAAGATTAGCAGTAATCTAGATTCCATTGAAGTTAGGCTTCTATTGGGATTAGGTTTGTGTTGGCTATAAAAGGGAGACACCCTCATGGGTTTAAGGTATGTCTTTTATGCTCTGTCTAGTGAGTTAAGCACTGTTGGTTATCTTTGAGAGATATTTTACTGACTTGATCATCGAAGTGCCCTCGGGTGAACGAACCACCGCGGGATTCTTATCTTTCTGTGACAGGTTGTTTGGGCTTAATCTATTCTGCTGGTGCTCTCCAGCTGAGTTCCCTCTTTTAGTTGTGTGGTCGGAAATCAACACCCACACTAATTATTATAATTTTTTGGATAAGATTCAAAACATTTTAAATTACTCAAAGCATAAGGTATCAAACGGAACAAAAAGCTCCGTTGACGAATTACATAAGAGTATTTTGAAAAAAATGATTAAAAATTAACATTTTAACTTTTTTGATTCTTTTACATAAAAAATAAAATGATTTGATTTAAAATAAATTAAAAATCAACTTTTAATTTTTTTATGATATTCTCAAATAGCACCATAGTACTCCGAATTTTATTTTTTTTACTTCCCATTAGGATAATAAAACACAGCAGTTCCCCATGCGCGGGATTGAAAGCGGCAAGTGAAGGCTTCAGGTAGAAAGAGGCAGCTCGAAATTCCCGACAAAAACGCAGGCCATAAAATTCCACGCTGTCTCTACCTCTCTGTGCATGGACGTGCGTTTGGGGCTGGCAGGACTGACATACGCGTGCCAAAGCCAAACTTCGACTTCATGTGGGGGGACTTCCTGTGTGGACCCCTAATATCTCTCTCCAATTCAACAACTATTTAAAACTTTATGCCAATTTATTTAATTAAATTTTTATTTATAATTTATTAGATTCAAATAATTTAAATAAATTAAAAATATATTACTTCTAATTTCTTTTTTCTAATACTCTCTAGTCCGACAATCATTATCCTCTTTTTTCTAATCTTTTATTCTTTATTCCTTCCCATGGTTGGCTTAATTATATTAGATACCTCCTCATCATATTTAATTTTGTAGTATTATATCATAAACTTTCAGCTAATGCAAACTATAGTTTTGTTTTCTATGCTTAGTGGGTCCCTCATTCTTTTTAATTATTGTTCCCTCGCTCCATTTTTTTATTTAATATTTGATGGAAAAGAACCTACTTTTTAGCTAGAAATTATTGGCTGGTTTTAAAGTATTGTCACGTAGTACACTACATATATTTTGATGGATAAAAAATGTAAAATTTTATATTACATGATTGAAAAATATAAAAAAATATAAAAATTTAAGATTAAGAATGAATATGATCACATAGTACTATCAATCAATAATTTTTCATTTTTGATGGAGATGGTTTGTCAATTGTCATGGTTGAGTCACGTCCACATTTTGTTGTTTGTCATTTCTAATGGCAGTAATGCTACAGACCCCAGTGGGAGTGACCCCCAGTGTCACGTGTCGGCCTGGGGTTGGCTGAAAACCAAAAAAAAAAAAACTATTTTTTGAACCAATGGAAAGGGACTCCAGCACTCCTACTGGCCCCACTGGAGGTTAAAGCTTCTTTCTAATGGCACCCCCTACTTACATGTCCATTAAATTTTTATTCAAAAATTATTTGAAATGTATAAATGTGTGTTTGGTAACGTTTACGTTTTCAGTTTATATTTACAAAAATTTTATAAACTGGTTTTTGTTTATTTTTCGAAAAATATAAACTGCAAACGCGTTTGGTAATTGACCAAATGTTTAAAAAAATTTAAAAATATAAAAAAGAGTGGGAAATGCCAAGTGGCGGCAGAAGACGGTGGTGGAAAGTGGTGACGGTGGGTGGTGGGTAGTAGGTGGTGGGTGGGTGGTGGCGGTGGGTGGGTGACGGTGGTGGGTGGTAGTGAGTGGGAGGTGGTGGTGGTGGTGGCAGATGGCGGGTGGGTGGTGATGGGTGGTGGTGGCAGGTGGGTGGTGGGTGGCGGGTGGTGGTGGTGGTAGTGGTGGTGGTGGCAAGGAGTGGGAAAAGCTTATTCTATTCTGTGTTTGTCTCTTTTTGTTTTTCAAAAACAAAGATGGGTGAGAACAACACTGCTACCACGAACCAGAATCATCTTACCCACCATGCTATGGACATCTCTGCCGGCGGCTCTAAATGCTTCGATGACGATGGCCGCCTCAAACGGACAGGGACTCGGAGTTGCCATTGGGTACACCATTGCATCTTCCATAAGCATGATGGCAATCAAGACGTCTAATTGCTTCCATGCAAATCCATGCCAGATATGCAAATCCATGCCAGATATCAAGCACTCCATATATGTTCATTTTTGGTGTTGATAAAATCATTTTCTCTCAAATTCCGGATTTCGATCAGATTTCTTGGCTTTCAATTGTTGCCGCGGTCATGTCCTTTACCTACTCTACCATTGGTCTCGGTCTTGGAATCGGCAAAGTTGCAGGTACCAACAACATAATTTAACGACCGTGAATATTTTTTAAAATATGAGAAAGAGAAATTTGAAATAGAGAATTTCGTGCCAATACTTTGTATTTTTGTTGAAGATAACATGATCTCTTTGATTGCTTGATGATTCAGAGAATAGGAAATTTAAGGGAAGTCTCACCGGAATAAGCATCGGCACGGTGACTGAGACTCAAAAAATTTGGAGGAGCTTCCAAGCACTTGGAGACATAGCTTTTGCCTATTCTTACTCTCTCATCCTCATTGAAATCCAGGTATATTCTTTTTCCTAAATTTATCAAATACTTTTTTTTTTCTTTTTTTAGAAAGGCATACATCTGACCAACAAGCCTCAACTCGATCTGGCGTAATCAAAATCTAATCTAAATCCAGTCTATTTGGATATCCGAGTTGAAAATTCTTTATAAATCAAAAATTTTACCAAACAAGTTTTTATTTGAGTTTTTTAAATTTTTGTAAATATAAACACTGAAAACGTAAGTGTTACCAAACGGCACCATAATGTATTGTGGGTGGTATAAATTTAAAATTAATAAATAATTATAATTTATAAATTTATTTTTCAAGTCTTTTTCTAGATATGTAGTAATTTAAAGATTAAAATAAAAATAAAAATAAAAATTAGAGATAAAAAAATAAAGTATAAATAGCAATATATACTTTATTTCTTTTATTTCGTATTTAAACTCTTTAAGAGAAATATGAAGGGAAAAAAGAAAAAAGAATGAATACAAGAAAAGGAAGTTTTATAATGTGAGTAAAAGAAGTAAATTAAAACAAGTTCTCATATTAAAAAAAAAAAAAAAAATAAAAAATAATAGTGATAATTAGTAACTTCATCTTCAATCTTTTTCAAATTTATTTAATTTAGAGAGATGTAAAATTTGAATCTTCCTCTAAATTCTTCAACTCTTTATAAATTGAACATATGATATGAAATGAGAGATGTGTTTTTCTTTTCTTTTTTTTCTCATCTGCTCTCTTTAACACAATTTAAATCGCCCTAACTTTAAAACTATACCACTCAGTTTTTATTCAATGGGAGACGAATGTCCTCTTTCCATCTCAATCATTATACATGATCAATTAAATCATATCATATTTTCCCGCTATTCTCAACAAGTCAACAAACAGTCAGAATCAAATATTAAATCAGTAATGCCATATCTCACTAATTTTTGACCCTCAAAATCAGTTTCTAATGACATGACAAGCATTCATTAGATAATTTTTACCTTTTAGTGGAATTCCCAAGTAATGCAATTTATGACACATCACTATGGCTGGTTTAGGAGTCTAAAATTTGTGGTCCAAAATATTTTCCAACTAGTTTGGATTGAAGACTCATATTCCAACCAGTTTGAATTGACGACCCTGTTTCAAGGTTTTGAGAGTTCTGGCGTTAGGGCTCAGCCCAACACTGTAAGAGCTACCCAAGCAGCCCAGCTTAACCCAATTCCAACTAATAGGGGAAACAAAAACCCAAATTTCATCACATTTGGATTTAATTCCCATCAAGTTCTATTGAAAATAAATTCTACTACAATGGTAGCTAAAAAAAAAAAATGTGACGATTTTTTACATATGTAGACAATTAGTGACTTTTTTGTCACGATTTTTATAAATTGTCACTAAAATTTACAATTAGTGACTTTTTTTGTGACGAAATTTTTAAACTTTTCAAACTGTTCCTAAAAGTTGAAAATAAACGACATTTTTTGTAATAATTTTTTAAACTATTGCTAAAACTTATAATTATTAACATTTTTTGTGACAATTTTTAAATTTTTACTGAAAATTAACAATTAGTAACTTTTTTTAATAGTATATGATGAAAAATGTGATTAATTATTATAAAACCTATTAGATAATAAGTTCACTTAATAGGACTTCTCCCTATTTATATTTTAAAAAATTGGTAGAAAAATTGGTAAGAATAGAATAGTAGAAAGAGAAGCTGCATCACGATTTTCGTTGGTCTTGGTGATTGTTTTTTTGCCGTGGGAGAGCTAAGGAATGTGCACAGCGTTGTAGACTTTGCGCTTTTACAATAAAAGTGACGAAATCTAAGTTCCAGCTTCTACTTCTCTTTCATTTTTTTTATCAGCTCCCGCTTATACTATAATTTACAGAACCGAATGTTCCATTGCATACCCTAAGGAATGAATCTGATTGAATAAAAAAGGCTGAGTTGCAGGTTGGAATAACTTTTTTCTCAACATGGTGTACAGCCGACTATTCAAAAGCCCAGATTGATTCCATGGATTTCATGCATGCCGTGTCATTTGCCATAGCAATTAATGCACTCAAATGAATGAATGAAGGCTTACCGGAATTACTTCATATTGGCTGCTGTGTGAGTGAATTTCCGATCATACTGTCAACTCAGTACTCAGTTGGAGAACACTGACAGAATAGGTGACACCTGTCTGACCTGCAACAGAAAGAGAAGATTCCGGCGGTGGTTCGTCCACCCAGGGACACTCCGACGATCAAGTCAGTATATCACTCAAAGATAATCAATAGTGCTAAACTCACTGTTTAGAATATAAATTGCATACCTTAGACCCATTGGGGTGCATTTCTTTTATAGTTAACTCAATTCTTGTCCCAACAGAAGCCTAACTTTAATGGACTTTAGCTCAGTGCTTATCCATGACTCTTCTATAGATAGAGATAAACTCCCTAAGAGCTTTATCTTTATCCAGGCTGAGTCCCCTCATCATTCTAGCACTCTTGTGCCTTATCCGCTTATCTCGGATTCCGATATCTTCGGAGATAACCTTGGCCTTGCCGAGATAACCTCGGCATCATGACCAGGACACGTAGCACCTAGGCTGACACGTCGGCGTCACCTTGGTCACGTGTTGGTACTCAGAAAATACATCCCCACAACTGCCCCCTAGGTTCTATTACCTCGTTATCTCTGCATTCTGAGATGATGGAACCTATACCAAAACTTCCTGCCAATACATCGGTTTAAAGTCTCTCAGCCGAGATCATCATATAGGCTGACATGTCTCTTTAAGGTTTAAAGATTCCAAAATCTCCTTCACGCGTATGAGCTGTCATGCAAAATAACTTAACCGTTTCAGCCACGTGTCTTCCTTTTACTGGATCGTACTCCGTACGCGCTTGTAAGTCGTCTCGTGCCTTCATGCACCGTCTGACAAATCCGTTTTTCTAGGCTCATCAATTCCTTTTTGCCGCATTTTCACGTTTTTCGACAAAACCAATATCCCTTCTCTTCGTCTCTTCACTTTACATCGTTTCTGAAGCTCTCTCTCTCTCTAGCTTTCCCACATCCTCCATTGTTTCAAGCTTTCAAGCTCTGCTATCACCACTGTTTATCTTCCTCCGGCGAGGCTCTTGCTAATCTTTCTCCGCTGCTGCCGTTCGTCTGACTTCGGCGAACTCAACACCGGCTTCTTTCCTTTGGTGAGTTACTGTTTTCTTCCCGATTTTAGTTCTAGTCGCTTTTCAAGAAGTTTTGCTTCATTATTTGCTATTGCCGTCTTACTCAAGTATTTGATTTATGAATCACGCATCTGAATGTGCTTGTTTCATGATTTTAGCTCTTGCCCATGTCTTGAATACACGTATTGCCCATAACTTTTCTGCACTTTTTTCACTGTTCTTGTCCTTATACCCTTTGTACTTACAATGTTCTTGATAGTCCATCTTTGCTCTTGATTCTGAAGCGCATTCTTGCTTTTCTGTTTTCCAGATTCATGCCTTCAATCTTCGTTTCCATAGATCTAGGTTTAAGATTTGTTTGTAGAACCCACAAATTCTTAGGAATAACCGAAAATGATCCCCACAATTTCTTACCCCACAAATTTTTAGGTTTTTGCCGAGGTCCCAATAACCCTTTTAAAATACCTTCATTCTGAAACCCAGTTCCTCCTAGTTAGGCCGATATCATGGGTATATGGAAACATAGGGTAGACACCCCGACCAAGTTAGATCATTTTAGGCGTGAGTTTGACATCATTGCCGACGTCCATCTGAGGTTGGTAGGGGAGGATGACTCTATCATGCCCACAGCCGATTCCATGCCCCTCCCTATTGTAGCTTTCATCGAGTGCGGGCTTCGGCTCCCACTTAATATCCTTTTTCGTGAGATCATTCACTATTATAAGTTGAACCCAATGCAGCTTGCCATCAACTCCTATCGAGTCATCAATGGCATAATAGCCTTAGCCAAACAAGAAAATGCTAGGATTACCTTAGCTGATATCCAATATTGCTACACCATGTGTGGCCTTAAAAAAAATACAGGCTATGTTTACTACCTTAAGCCAAGGTCCACGGAGTACAAAATTGTTTCCGACCTCCCTGACTCCAACAAGGGAACCAGGGATGACTATTTCATTACGTCGGGGAACTGGGAGTTCGCTCCAGACGAGGACCTTCATCTCTACCTCTTCTTCGATCAGTTTTTGTAGAGGGCAATGGTAAGAGCCTTGTGTTCATACTAACTTTTTTTAAAGTCTTCAATACTTTGTTCGCTCTAATGTCTGTTTTTCTTGCAGCTCTTCATAAGCCACCAAAGGGCTTCCGCCAGTCTTTCTTTCCTAGTAAAAACTTGAAGAAGTTACTGGATCTGCCAGTTCACAAACGGAAGGCCCCTCTTCTACTCAATTTTATTCCTATCTACAAGTCAGTTCTTCCCGACGTCCCCAAGAAGAAAAAGAAAAGCCTTTATTCACCTTCCGCTACAACTCCTCAAGCTGCCTCCACATCTCGGCCAGATCAAGGATCAACTTCTAACCCAGCAGATCAGCCATCAACTTTAGCTCCATATCTAATCCCAATATCCCAGCGCTGTCGATGACGTCGAACAGTTTTTGCTGCTGAAATGGGCCGCCAAAAAGAAATTGCCAAAGACCTCTTAGCCAACATCCCTACCGACGTTGACGTTCAGCCAGCACAAACCCAGCCTCAGCCAAGGCAAAAGCAAAAGCAAAAAAGAATTAAGAAGACCCAGCTAAAGGCCAAGGTGACTCAGGTTGACACTAAGGACACCCTGCCAATCTCCAAATTGGGTGAGAGCGATAAGTCCCATTCTGCCGCTGAGAAGAAACCTGCCGAGGACCAACCATCCGAATCTACCCGATTAAAGAGGCCGAGGTCATCTGCTACAACCACCTCGAGGTCTTTAAAGCACAATGCCCCCTGGGCCCCCCAAATCACACTGGAGGATAAGCCAGTTAGGGCTAGCAATAGTGCCGATGACATCAACGTCGGCGTTGCCCTTAGTACCGCTCTGCTTCTTCTTGGCGATCTCGACCGGAACGCCGAGCTGAGCGAATATGAAAACTATGCTTTGATGCTTCAACGCTCTATTCAAGTAAGTCTCTTTATTCTATAATTTTTCTTTCTTTCTCTTCATTTCATACTTATAATATTTTCTAATAACTTCTGTTCACTTTCAGGCCATCCAGCATGCTCATTCTTTCTCAGTGCAAGCCTTTGAGAATTGGAAGGAGCTGGCCAACAAGAAAAGGGAGGCTGCTAGTCTGCAAAAGACTAATAAAAGCTTGCAATCCAAGATGAAGACCTTGGAGGATCAAGCCGACGCTGCTATCAAGGCCCAAAATGTCGTCGAAGAGAAAGCAGAATCCGCTGAAGCCATTAAGAAGGTTCTTGAGGCTAAAAAGTGAGAGGCCGAAAAAAAGATGACCTAGGCCCAGAAGAAACTTCAAGAAGCCCTGGCCAGAAAAGAGGCCGAAGTCAAGGCCGCCGATGAGAAGGGCTATAACGAGGGGGTGGCCGATGTCACAACAGACTATGAAAAGCAGGTGAAGCAGGCATGCAATAAGGGTTTCACCCTTGGTTGGATGTTTCTTCTAAAAAAGCTTAAAGTACCCAAGGACTCGCCCCTCAGGAACGCCGACGTCATTCCTTTTCCATTCCCTCCAACTCCAAGTCAATCCGACGACGAATCTGAGTCTGAGGAGGAGACCTTGGTGAGGAAATCAAAGGAAGCATCTGGGACCAAGTCCCTTTCTCTGAATGAGCAAGTCCTGGACTTGATTATAATATTTTCTAACAACTTCTGTTCATTTTCAGGCCATCCAGCATGCTCATTCTTTCTCAGTGCAAGCCTTTGAGAATTGGAAGGAGCTGGACAAGAAAAGGGAGGCTGCTAGTAGTCTGCAAAAGACTAATAAAAGCTTGCAATCCAAGATGAAGACCTTGGAGGATCAAGCCGACGCTGCTATCAAGGCCCAAAATGTCGTCGAAGAGAAAGCAGAATCCGCTGAAGCCATTAAGAAGGTTCTTGAGGCTAAAAAGTGAGAGGCCGAAAAAAAGATGACCTAGGCCCAGAAGAAACTTCAAGAAGCCCTGGCCAGAAAAGAGGCCGAAGTCAAGGCCGCCGATGAGAAGGGCTATAACGAGGGGGTGGTCGATGTCACAACAGACTATGAAAAGCAGGTGAAGCAGGCATGCAATAAGGGTTTCACCCTTGGTTGGATGTTTCTTCTAAAAAAGCTTAAAGTACCCAAGGACTCGCCCCTCAGGAACGCCGACGTCATTCCTTTTCCATTCCCTCCAACTCCAAGTCAATCCGACGACGAATCTGAGTCTGAGGAGGAGACCTTGGTGAGGAAATCAAATGAAGCATCTGGGACCAAGTCCCTTTCTCTGAATGAGCAAGTCCTGGACTTGAGTCAAGATGAGGAGGGTGAGGAAGTCCCCAAGGATGCCACTCCTAAAAAGGTGTCATCGGACGTGCCCCTTGCTGACAAGAGCCTCGATCTAACCCTTCAAGAAATTGATGCCGAGCTTGCGGCTGAGAAGGCTGCCGAGATGTCTTCTCAGCAGTCCTCCGAAGTCCAAACCCAGCCTGCTAATGATGCTGAAGAATCTTAATTTTATGTTTTTCTCTTTCTTCTGTGCTCTGCACTTTTGTCTTTCTTTTGAAACAGTGTAAGCTCGTCATGTGGTCAAAGTGCTTTTTTATAAATACAACTTCTTTGTTTTGAACGTTTGTATGTTTGCCTTCTCTTTACTACTCTTGTATGATTCCATACTTAGAATATTTTTCATATCTTTAATATACATCTCAATCTTGTGCAACCTTCTCGGGGTGACACACCTCGGTTATACAAACTGATGATTTACCTCGGCAAGTATCCAAGTATCTTTCTTGGTACAACCTTGGTTTCACTTGTAAATTTTTTCATAAAATTTCAACAAGTGTTTAACCTTGGTTTAACTTTAACTTGTAAACTTTTTAAGTTTCAACAAGTGTTAAACATAATCTCGATTTAATTTCAACTTGTAAACTTTTCTCAAGTTTTAACAAGTGTTAAACATAATCTCGGTTTATCTTCAACTTGTAAACTTTTCTCAAGTTTTAACAAGTGTTAAACATGATCTCGGTTTAACTTCAACTTGTAAACTTTTTAAGTTTCAACAAGTGTTAAACATAATCTCGGTTTAACTTCAACTTGTAAACTTTTAGGTTTCAACAAGTGTTAAACATAATCTCGGTTTAACTTCAACTTGTAAACTTTTTAAGTTTCAACAAGTGTTAAACATAATCTCGGTTTAACTTCAACTTGTAAACTTTTCTCAAGTTTCAACAAGTGTTAAACATAATCTCGGTTTAACTTCAACTTGTAAACTTTTCTCATGTTTCAATAAGTGTTAAACATAATCTCGGTTTAATTTCAACTTATGAACTTTTTAAGTTTCAACAAGTGTTAAACATAATCTTGATTTAACTTCAACTTGTAAACTGTTTAGGTTTCAACAAGTGTTAAAACCATTTTTCTTCTCTCTACCCCCTAATATGAACCTAAGTTCCACTTGGGTTCTCATTATACATGTATTCCAGAAACAACGTTATGTATCTTTATCAGTCACAAGTATATAAACGAATAAATCAGGCTAAAACTTTATTTATTTATTTCGGCAAATGACAAAAGAGCAAAACTTTATTTATTTACTTCGGCAAACACCTCAATATTTGCTCTCAGGAACGCCTCCAACTTTTTTTTTCCCTCTTCGTCGGCTAAGCCCGAGCCGAGAAGAAAGAAACGTTCTTCATCCCTCTCCTGGACGAGGATTTTCTTTAGTGCTTCTTCACTCTTCTCGGCTGGCTCTTTGCCGATATCCTCTAGGACTTCTACGTCCTCGTCTTCGATCTCTACTTACCCTGGTTCTCGTATGCTGCAGGTGGATTTCATTGCTGCTATGGAGCAATTCTTTGCCTGCAGCTGATCTCCTTTATCCCATGTTCTGTTGGGAACCACAATAGTTGATGCAATGTTAAGGGAATAGCCCCCATCGCATGCAACCACAGCCTTCTCAAGATGATATTGTAAGGGGAGGGTGTGTCGATTACGGTGAACTCTGTCTTTACCTTCTTGGTGCCAGCCTACACCTCCAAGCTCGTCGTTCCCAGTGGCCATGTCGGCAAGTATATAAACGAATAAATCAGGCTAAAACTTTATTTATTTATTTCGGCAAATGACAAAAGAGCAAAACTTTATTTATTTACTTCGGCAAACACCTCAATATTTGCTCTCAGGAACGCCTCCAACTTTTTTTTTCCCTCTTCGTCGGCTAAGCCCGAGCCGAGAAGAAAGAAACGTTCTTCATCCCCCTCCTGGACGAGGATTTTCTTTAGTGCTTCTTCACTCTTCTCGGCTGGCTCTTTGCCGATATCCTCTAGGACTTCCACGTCCTCGTCTTCGATCTCTGCCTTCTCTGGTTCTCATATGCTGCAGGTGGATTTCATTGCTGCTATGGAGCAGTTCTTTGCCTGCAGCTGATTTCCTCTTACTTCCTCTATCCCATGCTCTGTTGGGAACCGTAATAGTTGATGTAGTGTTGAGGGAACAGCCCCCATGCATGCAACCATGGCCTTCCCAAGATGATATTGTAAGGGGATGGTGTGTCGATTACGGTGAACTCCGTTTTTATCTTCTTCGTGCCAGCCTGTACATCTAAGCTTACTGCTTCCAGTGGCCATGTCGGCGTTCCATTGAACCCGACTCATTGGGCCGTTGGATTGCTCCATATCGTCTGGGTGAAGGCCAAGCTCTTTGTAACACCTGATATACATGATGTCACAAGAACTGCCTTGGTCAATCAAGATGCGCTTCACTTGGCATTCCCCAACCTGGAGGGATACTACCAAGGCATCGTTGCGCGGATGTTGTACTATCTCAATGTCGGCTTCAGTAAAGGACACTACTGGTCCTTGGCACTCCTCTGCCCGATGTCTCTTCTCCTCGATTTGGTAGACATGTTGTAGGTGCTTTACCTTTTGGGTCTCCCCCCGAATTTCGTTTTCGTTGACCTTCGAATGAATTACATTAATTACCCGAGGTCCTCCTACCTGAGGTTGCTATACTGGGGGAGGCAAAGTTGCTGGTGCCTAAGGCAGTCTTGCCTGTTCTTCCCTTGTCCTAGCCTCATCGACATCCTAGCCTCATCGACAAGGTCTCTCTGATGGCCTTGCCTCACCAGATCTTCTAAGTGTGTTTTCAAGGCTCTACAACCTTGAGTCATGTGCCCATTTTCATTGTGGTAAGCACAATGTCTGCCAAGGTTTCTTCCCATAAACTCTCCTGGTGCCCTCGCTGGTGCTCTGAAATAGGGTTGGCTACGAATTTTGTCCAGGACTTTGTGAATCGGGATTCGGAACACAGTTATAACTGCCTGTGTAGCCTCCAGTCCTACCTCTTGCTTGCTGGATCCATTGTTACCTCGGCCTCGCTTCGGTGAGCTGTTTCATTTTTCTTACTTTGTCTCCTTTGTCCCCGACGTATCTTCCTCAGCTCTGGCATACTTCTCAATTCTAGGCATGAGCTCTTCCATGCTTTTTGGCAATGTCTTTGCCAATGACTTCCGTAGAGCGCAATCATCTTTCAGGCCGTTCTTAAAAGACACGACCATCACCTCTTGGTTGCATTCGGGTATTCGATTGAAAACCTTATAGTATCTTTTTGCATAGGCCCTATGGCCTTCATCCTTACTGATTCTCAGAGCCATCAATGCGTCCACCCTTAATAGCTGTAATTTATTTGTCACGAACCTGGCCACAAACATCTCGATCAGGCCTTCCCAGGTCTTCACATTTCCCTTTGGTAGTTGGTGAAACCAATCTGATATAACCTCCCTGAAGGATGAGGGGAACACTTTGCAGAGTAACGGCTCATTCCCGCTATACAGTGCCATTGAGTTTAGGTACAATCCAACGTGAAAGTTGGGGTCTGACTTACCGTCATATATTTGAAACATCGGCATACTGAATCTCTTTGGAGCCTCAAATTTGTCTAGCTCTACTGAGAATGGTGTTCTCAGCTTATCAGGGGAGGTTACCTCTACATCGGCATTCTGTTGCTTCCTCTTGAGGTAATCTCTCAAGTCCTCATTTGTCCACCCAGGAGTTCGGCTATCTCCTGATTTCATTCTTTTAGGTGCATTGCTCTTAGTTTCGTTGTGAGCCATCTTCGACCTTTCTCTATGAGTTGTATCGAAGCATAGCTTCTGCCCTTGAACATGCCGAAGTTCTGTGGGGTCTACTTCTTTAGTGCGATGTGTCATTCGTGACTCTTCTCTCCTCGACTCTCCTCGCCCGACCTCCCTGTAAGGCCGGTGAGAGTGTTTTTCACTTCTGGTGTGTTGAGGGGCTATTGGGATTGGTTTCTGCCCTCCCTTCTGGACATTGGCCGTTGGAATCGGCGTGTCCTGCAGCGAGAATGGTGGCTGCATGATGTTATTTTGCATCATAAAATTGACGACCGATTGCAAGTCTGCCAACTTGTTTGCCATCTCTTTCACCTCTGCGTCCCTCCACAAGCATCTATCCTTCCATACCTGGAGGTCGTCCTCGTTGTGGTATCCGCTTCTATCTGGTTTCATTGGCACGTCGCCATCCTGGCCGACGTCTTTCTTGCCGTGATTCTGGTTCTGAGTCTCCTCATTGCGACTGTCTTCCTCCATGTTTGGGTCAACGTGTTTTCCACTCCCAGCAGGGATTTCGTCCCCAGCCTTATCCTTCTGTCCGTCGTTGACCATCTATTCTCCTTTCTTTTCCACAGACGGCGCCAAATTATGTCAGTGAATTTCTGATCACACTGCCAACTCAGTACTCAGCTGGAGAGCACTGGCAAAATAGATGGCACCTGTCTGACCTGCAACAGAAAGAGAAGATTCTGGCAGTGGTTCGTCCACCTAGGGGCACTCCGACGATCAAGTCAGTATATCTCTCAAAGATAATCAATCGTGCTAAACTCACTGTTCAAAATATAAATTGTGTACCTTAGACCCATCAGGGG